CTGTCAGGGGGTCAGTCAGAAGCTTGAGGGCTTCGGACGACATGAGGTTTGTGAAGGCCTCGAAAACCTGCTGCGATACCTGCCGCATGAGCGAAGACGGGCGAGCAACCATGGCGAGAAGGATTTCCACCAGGAACTCGGCGATACCCTCGCCGCCTTGGATGTCCTCGCCGGCAAGCTTGTCGTAGCACTCTTCGAGCTCCTCGAGAAGGTTCATGACGTCGGGGTCTTCATTGTAGAATTGCAGGATAGCGACGGCATACAACAGGGCGAGAGCCTGGCGGGGAGCTTTGGTATCCTTGGTGTCCTTGGCGGGGTCGAGCAGGTCTTTGAGCCGCTCGTAGGCTTCAAGAACGGCTCCGCCGATCTCGTCCTCGGGGTCCAGGTCGACCTTGATGGAGAGGATGGCGCCGCAGAGGTGGCCGAAGTCTTCGGGCCTCTTCACGAGCTTGGCGAAGGCAGAGGTGGTCTTGGTGCGGAGCGCCTCTCTGATGCTTGCTGGGACTGACTGCTTCGAGTAAGCCAATTCCGTGAGGACCTCGATAGCCGAGCCAGGAACGGAGACGCCTGAGGTGTTCTCCTCGTCGGATGGCACGCTAGAGAGTCTGAAAAGGTAGCTGCTCAGTGACTGGTAGTACTTGGTCTCATCAAGACCGCTCTTGGAGAAGTCCTTGAGCTGCAGAGTCTTGAGTACCGTCTTGATGCTCTCGGGGGTGGTATGTTGCAGGATTTTGTCGACGGTCTTGGTGTTGGTCCGTTGATCGAAGTTGTACACGCCATTGTGGCTAAGAAGCTGGCGAAGAATTGTCGGCAGAAGGGAGGGATCGCGGTCAACGATAGCTTCGATTCCCTTAAGCGCTTTGATTGCCGCGCGGTGAAGATACCTGTCTTCCTTGGCAGCTTGATTCATGAGACAAGTCATGAGGTTCTGGCTAAATACGGACTCGACGATGAAGGTCTGGCTGGCTGCGCCTTCGAGCATCCGCTGGAAGATCATGAACCCAGAGAATTTTTGGCTGTCCGACGAGGTTTTGGAGAAGAATCCCTCTGATGAAACTTGTTAGCTCACGATCCACTCAATGGTGGGCAGTGATACGTACCATCAACGACGCGCTTCCAAAACTGCTCAAACTGCTCAGCGGCATCAGACTTATCCTTCTCGCCAAGCTTCAGGAAATGGGCAAGAATCAGATTCCACACAAAGTGCAACTGAGCAGTCCAGTTGCCTTGCTTCTGTTTCTTATTTCCCGCTTGATCGTTGGACGTATCTCTGCCACTGTCCTTCAGGACAGTAGGAAGAGAGGTGAGGGAACCAGCCTCAAGAGGGCTTCGCCACGGCTGTTTGGGCATTTTCATGTCTGGGAAGCGATCGAGAGCGGCAATCCAGATACCAACACCTTCAGGCGTCTTGGCCACCCCTTCATCGGCGAGTCTCTGCAGCGTTTCCTCCGCAAGTTCGACCTCCATCTGGGAGATGGCCTGCACAATAATCCAGCCGCATTGAGACTTGAGCCACGACTTCTTCTGAGAAAGTTTGAGGACCAGGTCCAAAACAGCCTGCCACCTCGACTTATCGGAGAAGAGAATGCCGGCACGAACAAAGCATTCGATGCCAAACAACTGACCGAAATAGTGATCTCTCTCCTCCTGACCATTGCCACTGCCTCCAGCATCGGTTTTCTCAACCAGAATACCCAGAACCTTGTCGAATGTGAGCCCCGTGTACTTGGACCCAGCAAGGTATTTTTCTCCAAATAGCTGACCCAGAATCTCAGTCAAAACCAGACTGAAGCCCAGACGGGATGCGTTCCTCCCACTGGCGAGACCGCGGAAAAGGCGGCCGGCAAGGTGGCGGAAAAGGACGGGCTCCTCGACGCCATTGCCTTCCAAAAGACCAGCAATTATGATGCTGGCAGCCTCAATGCGTTCACTTTGGTCTTCGCTGCCGAGCTTCTCATACAGTGCAAGCTCTCTCTTGCGCTCCTCAACGGTGGGGTGCTCGGTGAAGGGCGCCGGCTTGTCCTGGACTTTTGATGATGCCTTAGTTTTTGTCGAACCATTTGTCACTGGCGTATCTTTCTTTGATCTTTTCTGAGAAGGGAGACTGTCATTGGCAGCCTCCTTTGGCGTGCGTTTCCTTTTGTTGGCCATTTTGTCTGCCGTCGGTGTTGTTTTGAAATTCGATGACAACTTCCTGCCCGGGTTCAGGTTGTCAGTGGATGCGATGCCAGTATGAACAGCTGCCGGCCATTAGAGGTATCGCCGTCTCCTGGAAAATTTTAGTGGAGCCGCTGCTGTTCTGCCTGCTTCTACCGCTTTACCGACGGGATGATTCTTTCTCTTAATTGCATAGAACGATGACATTATAATGCAATGTTCGCCAAACCATCCACATCCTACCAAAGAACACTTTGCTGGGGCTGCTTGTCTTTGTCTTGATGACCACATCCACTCCACCAATACGCGTGCACATTCGACTGGATGAGGAATCCCATTTATTCCCAATAACATTCAACAGAATTTGCGAAATACTACGTCAATCGATCTCAACATGGTTTCTTTGAAGTGAACTGAATACACTGTGGACCGTCATCATGTGACACCGCGTTACCCCGCGCGTCGCCGGGGCAATGTTTGTTTACATCCGCTCGCCACACAACGCGACATCAGTCTTGTTGCTCGTTGCTAGGTTGTAACAACGAAGAGATAGTGAATGACGGCCAACGAAAACCTGGGCGAGACATTGATCGGAAAGTGTCAGATACAACTGAGGGGCCAACAACATAAACAAAACAAAAGGGAGCGATCGTATGCCGAAGTGCAAGAACGGTTGTGGGGTTTCGCCGGGAGGCAACCGTGGTTCACCCACCAAAAGGACTTTCCGAAACAGCCATTCACAGGCTCCATCACTTGAACCGAGTCTGTACATAGTAGTGTAGAGTTTGGTTTTGGTTTATCTGCGAAACCATGTCCCATGGCTCAATTTATTGTGACGAGATGTTTCCACTGGATTTCAACATCAGGACATGGAAGAACCAGTGACAGTTCCAAAGCATCATTGATGGGTACTAGGAGAAGGTGCAGACCGAGGACTTCTTTGCCGAATCGTCAATGAAAAAGTCCTTGGTGTTCAAAAGTTTTGACCTTGTTTCCGAGTCCCGATCCCTTGCCTATTCCCTTCAAAGGCCACACTTCTGTCATCCCTCTCGGGCTGCCGTGTGCGCAACTGACCCTGAGTGAATCAACATGGTATGGACCATGCAAGTAGAAAAAAAATAACGAGGACAGGTCAAAGTGTCAGCGGAATTGTGACATTTTACAGTTTAGATAAGAAGCAAAGGCGATAGTGAATACTAGGTACTACTGCGTGGTATAGGCAGAGTTCATGTACCTCGGCGCAAAGACGCACCGAATGCAAGTCTTCAGCGAGCGCTTATGTACCTCTACTGCGTGGGTAGGCCCGTGGATGTGCCTCGGAGTTGACGCCCGATCCCGCGCAATGGAAGCAACTCGTGTGAACGGAAAGAATGAAATGATGCACTGCAATAATAAGCCCGCATAATGATACTGACGAAAACAAAGAAGGAGGGATGAGATGAAAGACAGAAGTCACTACCAAGTGGAAAGCTCTGGGCAATGTGCAGCAGACGGGACCGTACGACGGGAATTAAAGTGACACATGCCAGGGGTCTCCGAAAGCGCCCGAGCGCAGCGCTTGGAACTTCCTAGGTTGCTGGGTAACAGCCCAGTCCAGTTACCACCGGTTACAAACAACCTAACCGGGTAATAACATGTTGTAAACCTTTCGCTAAGATGCTGTAAACCCTCCTCTAACATGTCGAGGATAGCGCTGATTGCTCCTGCCAACCCACGATAGCGTCAACTCCAGTACCGCCTCGGCCTGGTGTCGTTCTCGTTGTTGGGCTTCCGTAGGTGCAACGCCGTGGCAACCCTCCATCCTCGTTGCCCCTTCCGCCAACCAGTTGAAGGCAGGACCTTGAACGTCGCCGAGTGCTCCTCCAATTTTCGGGGACCACTGAACAGCTAGCTCACTGAACAGCGCAGACATCCGATTTTGTCAACTTCCTACCAACTGAACCACTTGAGCGAGGTCCAAGTTTACTTGCGAGTTCTCGTCCAGCTTCTGGATGGATGTTTACAGCAGCTCCCCTCTTCGCTTTCACTCAACATTGGACCGTACACATGCGTGCACACAACACCTACGTGCTCCTCCTTCTTACAACAACGAATGCACGTTCTGCTCTTCGACCTTTATTCTAGCTTTTCAACATAGCCAGCCCAGTTCACCCTATGCGGTCGCCCATTCGCAGTCCTCAAAAAGACTCCATCCCGTCACCCACCAGGCTGTCCGTGTGCAGCTGAGCGCTTGTGCCGAACCTCGTTCACCCCGCCCCCAGGCCGCAGGCCATCACTGCCCGTCTACCCACAATACAACGGAACCCACTGTCTACCTAAAAGAACACCTCAGGTGGCGGCCAAAAGAAGTTCTGCCGTGCGCAAAGGTTTGCACAGCTGCATACCGCCCGTGGCATTGAACAACTAGACGGAACCGACCATACTTTTAGTTTTCGAACAAGGAAAAACGGAGATTGTTTGATCCCGGCGACCACAGAGCTTCTAAAACTGGTCCGAGTTCCCTGCCTGCACTTTCGGGAAGGCATTGTTGGCTGACGGATATGGACTAGGCTTTGATCGACATCGATGTCGGCGCGTCCAGTTTACACCACTAGTTAGCTTAAGGTCTTTCTGTCATCTTGCTCGGCGACAATCTTCAAGTCCCAAGTCCAGTCCAGTCCCCTTGGTCTTCCGTGCGCGCCAACTCGAGCGGACCTTTCTCTCGGTGTCCAGGTCCATAGCATCGCGACGGCGAACCCGACAATAGCAGCTCTCGACGACAGTGACGACGATTCCACGAACGCGAATCAGCCAGCCACAGCATCGATTGGCGACCCTTCTTCGAGTGCTGCGCAAGCTTCAGTCGTATCGCCAAAAATTGGCTTTTGTTCAATATTCAGACGGAACCCGGCCCAACGACAGACCAATTGGAACACCGATCTATGCCGAACGCCAATCCGTAGGAAAGTCGAAACTGGTTGGAGAGTTGTCACGATAATATGGAGGCTTCATCGCCCCTGGCCGCGATTCGGCCTGCTCCGCCGTCCTTCAGCCAGCCAGAAGTGCTTGGACCGCGCAATGGCAACTTGGCGCCACCAACAGGTCTCTTCAACTTCAAGCGATCCAATGCGGACTTGTTCAACACCAAACATGCAGGAAGGTCTTCGCCTAAGGGTTCGCTGGTGACCGGGTCGTCAGAAAACTTCAAGCTCAATGAAGCAGGGTTAGCCTTCTCACCTAGAAGTCGAACAACCGATAGCATTGTCGACAGTGTTGACCAAATGGAACTTTGCAGTAGCCCGTTACTTCCGACACCACGGCGTGCGCTGTTCACCTCAACAGGTATTGAAAACGCGGTTGAAGGTCGTGGTAAGTAATCAATGGAGCGAACAATCTGCTACATAGCTTATTTAAAGCTCGGACGCTGACAGATCTGTAGGGTATGCAACCACGCCGCCGCCTCCTGCATCTTCGTCACCTGCAGTTAACAGGTTGGACATGTCTCCGGTACCGATCAAGGCACCTTTCCTGTCACGTCTCGCCGCTAGTCCTTCTCCGGCTGCAGTGGATTCTGGCGATGAAGACACACTACCAGACTCACCTGCTGCTGTGCGGCAGCTGTCCCAAGAATCCAAGGGAATTGGTGCCGAGTAAGTTCATGCTTGACTTTTGATCAGCAAATCTTCCTGAACTCTACCCTCGTCCTTTGGTCTGTACAGCAGCTAATCATCCCCTCTTCTCTTTGCCAGGCGAAGGAGACTTGGCTTGTCTCGTCCACCTCTGGCCCGGGCCAAAGGTTACAGCACGAGTAGTATACCCGGGCGCTCCAACGGTTCGGGGTCGGGGCTGCCGCCCTTCCGCTTCGGTGGCCGGAACCTCAAGGTACCCATCTCCCCTTCGGTGTCGTTGTCATTGAGCGAATGTTTCGAGGAATCACCCCCGCAGGATCGCCGGACACCTGTCTTGCCGGATAGTCCATGCTCTAATGCAGCGGCAGCGCGCTGCAAGACTCATTTTGGCAGCGGCAGCAGCATTAACAGCGTTCGCAAACGTTCTCCCACCAACAATGCCCGCACACCTTCGAACCCCTTTGCCCGGCAAAGGAAAACATTCCGCCGCTCGCTGTCCATGTTTGAGAGTCCGGGCGACATTGTCAAGCCTAAGGAGCGCACATCTCTTCCATCTAGTCTCAAGTCTGTCGTGGATGTCAACGAACCTCAGGAGCCTTTATTGCCACATTTTTTCCCTTCAGGCGAGAACGATTCTATCCCACGCATCAGCCGAGACACATTGCTCGAAGTGCTTGACGGCAAGTATGGTAGTCAGTACTCGCACAGGATGATTATTGACTGCCGCTTCGAGTACGAGTATGAAGGTGGCCACATTGACGGGGCCATCAATTACAATGACAAGGAGCTTTTGGCGAGACATCTGTTTGAGACCCCTATGGAAGGGCGCACGCTCTTGATTTTTCATTGCGAATATTCGGCCCATCGCGCGCCCATCATGGCCCGCCACATACGATCCGAAGACCGCACCATCAACGCCGAATTTTATCCTAAACTCACGTACCCCGATGTTTACATCCTGGACGGAGGCTATAGCGGATTCTTCCAAAATCACCGGGAACGTTGCTGCCCTCAAGCGTATATCGAGATGAATGACGCCGAACATGTCAACACGTGCGAGCGAGAAATGGGCCGTCTACGCCAGACCCGTAAGGGCTTTAGTAGGGCCCAGACCTACGCATTCGGGCAGCGTGAACGCAAGTCCGACAAATTCGAGGCTGTTTCGCCAACCGCGCCGGGCCGCAAGGTTTCTCGGGATGATGAGGAGGACATGATAGGAGCATCGCCCATTCTCGGAAATGACCGAAGCCATTCTAGGCGCATGGCTACCTTCTGAAGCCGAGAAATGGCATGTCCAGATATGAACAGAGCACCACCGTTGATATCGGCTGTGATTTGCCACAATGGAGAGCGTCTGACCTCGCGCTCGGGACCCTGGGGCCTGGATAATACTTGATCGTGGGCTGTTGCGATCAAGGTGTACAAACGGTGTACTTGAACATATGGCCAACAAAGTTGCCCACTAACGACATACCCCTACGAAAATATCTGCTTTCGGCTGTCATGTTTCTCTTGGGAGTTTCTTCTTTATACTTTCTTCCTATACCCCAAGACTTTCAGCACCGCAGCCTCTGTGGCAACGTATAGAGCTAGACCTGTCGTTCGATGGTGATCATCGATACTCCCCTGCTCTGCATCGGTTAGAGTAGCATCTCACGCTGAGCGTTCAAGATTCCTTCTATATCATAACTGGTACGGGAAATACCACAGCGAAAGCAAATCAAGCAAAACAACATATTGTCCGTCCTTGATGTTGACTGTACCAGTGCTTTGGCCAGACTCGAAACTTGATGAAGACCCATGGGTGGTCTCAATCATATAATGTCACAACTAGGGCGTATTGTGACTTGTTCAACAAGGAGCCGTGAACGGGAAAGTTACGGAGGGATGTACGCATCGATGGGAACAAAGGCTAGGCGAGTCTAAGAGTATAGCGGGGTGGTCATACTTCGATGTGAGGTAATAATGTAAGTCAGAGTAGTAGAATGGGTGTGAGAGCTTGAAGGTTGTTCAATGGGAGCATCTACTGGTATGCAGTGCCTCTCGGTGCAGTCGTAATAAATTAGGGCTAAAGGTGTGACACGCTGTGTAAGACGTAAGTGAGAACACACGCAGCTTCCTTCTTTGTCATTGCTAGATATTTTTTACTTCCTTACTGGTGCTATAGATTTCGCATCTTTCGAGAAAATGAGTGTGATGCTGAAGGATCAGAGACGAGTTACATGAGATGGAAGTATAGTTCCCAGAGATCGGGGTGGGTGGAGTTGAGACGGGGCAGAGCGCGGGACGGACCCGACAATGTGGATCTTCATCGGTGCGGAGCGGACTTGTTCAACTCGTGGGGCCCCACTTGTCCCGAGGCCGGATGGGGAGGTACCCGACCTACCTAGCGGAACTTTGTCGGTTCGGGCTCCAATGAACTCCTAACACTTTGGGAGTAACAAAAGATGAGGATGTCACAGAATTATCTTGTGTCACAATCCTATGCTTTTTTGCTGGCGTTACGAAAAATGAAGGACGAATCCGCGCTTCGTGGAGGTCTGATGTCAAAAAACATCGTTCTATCGGGGCGCCAAGATAGTACTCCACAATAAGAGAGTTCCCATCGATTCTTGCAAAACATCAATGGCCGTTCCTTTGTTCAACTAGATCTTGCATCATCCTCAAAATACGTACCGCATCCCCAGCTTAATTGGTCGACACGCCTCGATTTGATCTGGTACCTATCGACACTTTCGTCCTTTTTTTACTTTCTTTTTTTCCTGTTTGACACTGCGGCCGGCCTTCTCTTCATCCTTTCATCCAACTTGAAGATTTTCATTAGCTCTCTCGATTTGAGATGAACATCGTCCCTTCCAACCAGCACTTCATATAAAATCATCTTTCACCACATCTGTGGTGTTCTCTCCCTCATCATCGGTCCTCAACTTTACAACATGGCCGCTAAAATGTCAGTACGAAGCCAATTGCACTTTAACAACATCACCCATACTGACCAAATCAGCTTCGTTTTCGGTAGCATCAACGGTCAGCTCCAGTCTGCGTTCAGCAAACTATCGACGTTGCACGCCAAGAATGTTTTCAGCTTCGCAATTGTCACTGGTAATTTATATGGTGAAGGCCAAGATGATGATCAGCTCACTGCCCTTCTAGCCGGCAAAATTCAGATTCCGTGCCCGACCTACTTCACTGTCGGGACAGTCCCACTACCCGCACAAGTCATTGAGCGAATCGAAAAGGATGAGGAGATCGCACCAAATCTTCATTACCTGGGCAAGCGGAGCGTTACCAAGACCTCGGAAGGTGTTCGGATTGTTACTCTGGGTGGATTGCTTGATCCTGCCGTCGTCGCGGGTCAGTCCAAGGAACAGTATCTGCCCTTCCACACCGAAGGTGACATCAAGTCTTTGCGCGGCGCCAACAATGGCGACATTCTCCTCACCACAGTGTGGCCATCCGATGTATGGAAGAACAGCGCGAAAGCACGAGAGCAGAACCTTACCACGGAAGCCATTTCTTCCAGCCAGGCAATCGCCGACCTTTGCGCCCATCTCAAGCCCCGCTATCATTTCACCATGTCTCCGGACAACTTCGCATTTGAGCGCGAGCCCTTTTTTCCCGAATCAAGAGGAGAGGAGGATAAGGACAAGGGACTGGACGTGACACGGTTTATTTCACTTGCTCCATGGGCCAACACGGCCAGGGCGAAGTCGATGTACGCTTTCACCCTTAACAGAGAAACGGTCGTGTCGCCTCCCGTAGGAAGCACCCTCACGCCCTTTTATAAGCCAGCTGCCGCTGCACAGAAACGTACAGCTGACGAAGCCGGCTTTTCGCGCTTCGCAAACGGAAATCACGAGGGCGACCGCAGGCGTCGCAAGCACCAGCGACGCGAACGCTCTCCTCCACCCGGACCGGAAAGGTGTTTCTTTTGCTTGTCGAACCCCAATCTGCCCACGCACATGATCTGCAGCATCGGCGAGGAGGCATATCTTGCAACTGCGAAGGGGCCCCTACCTTCCGCTGAAACATTCAAGTCGCAGGGTCTTGACTTCCCAGGTCATCTCATCATTACGCCCACCCCGCACATCCCTTCTTTGAACGTCGCGGCTCTTGCCGACAGCGGCGAAGATGTCAAGAAAACCTTCAAGGAGATGACGCGCTTCCGCGAGTCGCTGCAGGGCATGGTTTCGAAGCAGTCCAAGGGAAAGCTCGGTGCCGTTACCTGGGAGATCAACCGCGCGAGGAATATTCACGTCCACTGGCAATTCATGCCGGTGCCTGTGGAGATGGTTCGCAAGGGGTTGGTGGAGGCCGGTTTTCAGATCTTGGCGAAGGATACTAATATAGGAAAGTTTATTTCGAAGGAATTTCAGACGGCCGATGAGGTTCCTGGCGACTATCTCCGTGTTTGGATCTGGGCAGAGGAGGAGGGCGACGCGGAAAAGGGTGGCGCAGAGGGCGGCCAGGTGATCTCCAAGACCCTGCTGCTGCAGATTGATGAGAATGTTCGCTTTGACCTTCAGTTTCCCCGCAAGGTCATGGCGAAGCTGCTCGGTGAGGAAGGCAGGGTTATTTGGCAGGATGTTGGTCAGTCAGTGGAGGAGGAGTCGAAGGATGTTGCGGCGTTCAGAGCGGCTTTCAAGGAATGGGATTTTACGCTCTAACTGGGACCCAGACGTGAGGAATGGTACAGGTGGGGATCTGGTAGGTTGTCGCGGCCTTGAGGCTTGTGGCAGACATGGAGTGGATTCAATGGGATCGATCGTTGTTGTCAATCTCATGGGTAGTTGTTCACATTTCTCACCAACAATTTGACCTGGAGTCCCGAGGACATATTTCTCCACAGGAAGGCCTTGGTATTTCTGGATGTCTTCGTTCATTGGCTTGAAAAAGCATATTCAGAGCACATGCTACGCTTGTATTCAAGGAGAAAACTATGAGCTCTTCGTATTGCCGGAGCGTAAGCATATCTCTTAGAGACATATTTGCTGGATATGCACTTAGTAGTAGATTCATATCAATGCATATGAGCATCCTTGCCGACCCCCGCAAGACACAACGCTCCGCTCTTATCAGTCAGCTTATCGTAAGGTAGTTCCACCCTGGCAGCACCCTGGCCAAAAAATTTCCAGGCGGGTTGCTGTGCCGGTCTGTCACAGTGTCACTGTCTGTTCTGTTTCGCCTTTGCCATTTTGCTCGCCGCGTGCGAAGCATCACCAAACTTCGAACCCACGGTCCGCCTCCTCGACCAGCGACAATACCGCAGGACCGTTGCCCACGATGCCGTCCACCACGTCAGGACGTATCGTCAAATCCCAGAGGGGGGTGAAAAAGACCCCCCATCAAAAGAACCACCGATGGGAGTCTTTCAGCACCAAGATCTCCAAACTCCATTCGCTCGACCCGCTGCGCAAAGTTCGCCGTCACGATCTCGAAGCCGAAGACCTCGATGCCACCACATCCTACCTGCGCAATGGTCTCGACAAATGGTCTGAACTCAACATCTCGCGAGCCTACGTTCACTTCCGGAGACAGGTCACGTCGTTGACCGGCTCCCTGGCCCAGATCCTCTACCATGAGGACAAGATTATGGACCTCTTGGTCGAACACACAGAGAAGCACAACAAGGAAACCCTCGAACCATTGTTGGACCTCATCACCGCCTTCGCCCACGACTTGGGCGCGCGCTTTGAGAAGCACTACCCACGAGCTCTACGCCTGATTGTTGACCTCGCCAGCAAGGTGCACGACGTGGAGGTCATCGAGTGGACATTCGCCGCGCTGGCCTTCCTTTTCAAATACCTTTCGAGACTCTTAGTTCCCGATCTGCGCCCGACATATGACACAGTTGCTCCCCTGATGGGCAAGGCTAGACAGCCCGGCCATATCGCCAGATTCGCCGCCGAGGCCATGAGCTTCCTGATCAAGAAGGCCGCCGCCCCAAGCCATAAGCAGACGGCGCTACCCTTGATTGTGCAGCACGTACGGGACGATCTCTACAGTATGCATGGGACGAAGCAATTTGGTCTCTACAGTCAGGGAATCATGGTCATGTTCGCGGAGGCCATCAAGGGCGCTGGAAACTCGCTACACTCGACAGGACCTGACGTTATGACAGCTTTGGCGAAGGCTGTACCCGACGAGGAGCTCGATCTTACATCGGAGAAACCGACGATCTGGACTGACGTCTGCTGCGGCGTGCTTACTTCGACCATTCATCACTCGACACCTGAGACGTTTGTACCAGTTGAAACAAGGATTTTTGAGGATGCGGCGGCCACACAACGACCAATCCTTTTTGTCCAGCTCCTCGGCTTTGCTGCCGGTGTTCGCCAGGGAATACGGATCAACGATTGGGCGCTCCTAGTTAAAACTTTGGGTCAACTACTCACGTCCCTATCGACCTATAAGGACAACGCGGAGTTCATGAACTCGCCACGGCTATGGCAACGCGTAATGGTGAATGCGGCTATCATTTGGGCACAGGCACCTATCGATGCCCTCCTTCCCTCGTTGTCGAGCTTTAACAGCGCCATGACCAAAGAGCCACTTATGAGATGGTATATCCCATTTTGCTCTTACTTGGCCGACTTAAACCCCGATCGCTTCCGAGGACTTTTCCAGAAGGATTTCCAAAAGTAAGTCTTTTTTTTTTCTTATCCTCCTCCATTAGACGGTAATATCTAACATCCTACAGATTTATTGTAGCACATTGGTCAGACGCTGCCAATGAAGATTTGCTTTGTGTTCTAATACCGCATATGATCGAGGCGGGTGGTCTTCCTAGCCCTCATGCGAAGGAGAGTTTCCCTCTGCCACAATCATGGCAGGACCAGAGTGTGAGCAAGTTTGTCCGACTCGAAGATACTCCTTTCCCCGAGAGCGGTGGCTTTGGCAAGGACCGCGAAACCTGGAAGGAAAAGTGTTTGCCAATCTACTCTGGTCTCCTGCGCGTGTTGGAGTCCACTTCGGTACACCCCTCCACGAATGCTCGGATAGCAGAAGTCTTGCTTAAGAAGCTCAAACTCGCTCTCCGGCCGTCTTCATCCCTCCCGACGGACGAGGCCAACTTCATCGTCAGTGATGGGTTCCGTGCCTACCTGAGAATGTGTGCGGCCGCGGGGTCTGTCGATCTCAGCCTTGCTCCGCTGCTCAGAGCCGCTGCGCCGAGATTCTGCCGTCTGCCGAAGTTCCTTGAGGCCTTGCTGGACTATGAGCAGGAACTGAACCGAAAGTCTCAGAGCTCGCCAGAAGCTAATAACGGCCGGGGCAACAGCCCGCAAGAGGAGGATCCTTTGGTGAAGTCTCTCATCAAGAACCTTGCTTCTACATCACACCATCTTCGACTTGTTTCTTTGCGGATTCTCGACGTCCTGGAGACGACCCCTGATTCGAACGCAGCTTTGTCGACAATGATCCAAGTAGAAGAACTTCCCTTGAATATGCAAAGCGTCCGCGCTATCGCTGTGCATCTACGAAAACTCGGTCAAATCTATCATCACATCGAGGAGAGCTCATGGCTGGTCCAAGCTATCCCGTCCTTCCTTTTTGGCCTTACAACGATACAACTTTCGCCCGTCTGGGATGATGCAGTGGAAGCCATGAAGAAAATTTCGGAAACCAAGCATGGTGAGGAGATTGTTGCCGAGCTGGCCTTTGAGTGGCTTGAGGTGCCGTCCCCTCGCTGGACAGGCCCCTTTGAGCCCCCTACCGATAATCACCGCAAAGCCATGACGGATTTCGAGTGTACTGGCCTCATGGGACTGCAGGAGGTTGCAGACGACACGGGCAAGGTGGTCAGCGAGTTGTCGCAAAAGCTTCTCAGCACTTTCGAAGAGGGACAAAAGGCGGTGGAACTTCGCTCGGATCGCGCACGCAGCAAAGCTCTCAAGGTGTTCACTGCTCTTCCTAGTTCTGCTGAAAAGCGCTCGAGGAAGATCGTCCCGTACCTTCTGTCCTTCACGGAAGAAGGCCAGACTCCGGCTGCCGAGGAGAACGAGGATCAGCCCTTTTCCGAGGAAGACGGAAGCTGGTCGCTGCAAGACAGGAAGGCCCTTGTGGGTGTCTTCTCCCACTTCGGCAACCCCAAGGTGCTTTGGCAAAGCCAAAGGGTTTACAATGCGCTCTTGAAGCTGCTGGCCAATGGTGATATCGAGCTTCAGAAAATGGCGCTCAAGGCAATTCTGGCGTGGAAGAGCGATGCCATCAAGCCGTATCAGGAACATCTGGAGTATCTTCTTGACGAAGCGCGCTTCAAGAACGAACTCACTGTTCTTTTCCAGGGTGACAACAAGATCCGCCCTGAGCATCGCGCTGAATTGATGCCAGTTCTCCTTCGCTTGTTGTATGGCCGAACCATCTCCAAGAAGGGCGCGGTAAGCGGACGTCATGGTCTCCATAACACACGTTTGGCCGTTATTAGACAGCTGGATGTGGTGGACATGGGCAAGTTCTTGGATATCGCCCTTGGCGAGCTCCGCAGTATCCGTATCCTGGATGGCGATGTTGTCCGGGAAAGCACCTTTGCCGAAGAGCTGATTCCAGTGCGCAAGCAAGTCGGTCTGCTGAACATGGTCGAGGCGATCATCAATGAACTCGGAACTGCTGTTGTTTCGTATATGGACGCGCTTGTCAATGCTGTCCTGTTCTGTTTGATTACAGCGTGCAGAAACCTGGGAGCCGCCTCTGAGGATCCCGAGGAGGCGGAGCCGGTACAGAATGCTTCATTGTACAAGGTGGTGCGGACCACTGGTCTCAAGTGTCTTTGCAAACTGTTCCAGAACGCGCAGACCTTTGACTGGACACCGTATGAGAATGTGATCGTGAAGGAAACCGTCAGCCCTCGCATTGAAAAGCTCCCAGCCGAGACTACTCAGGGTGTTTCTGGCGTGTGGAGGCTCCTGTCGACCTGGGCCGTTCTGCCCAAGGCGGCCTTGTTCCTTAACATCGACAAGCGCATCCTTCCGAAGGTCATCGAGAGTCTTGGTATTGAGAAGGGCAAGGACGAGGTCAAGGTCCATGCGCTAGAGATTCTCAAGAGCCTCATCGGTCTGGCTCAAGCCCCTGCGGCCGTATCCGAATACAATGAGCTCATTAAGGATGAGCTTTTAACGCCGAATATCAATCTTATGCTCAAGGAGATCGGCGGTCTTCTCCGTGATCAGACTGACATTGGAAAGGATCTCCTCGGCACTGCCGTCGATACTGTTGTTCTCCTTGCGCCAATTGTTGATAGCTCCTCCGCCAGTGTTCAGGATATGGTGGACATTGCTACCTACTTGCTCAACCAGCCAGCACGTCGCGTCAGCCCCAAGGTCAAGGGATCCATCTTGCTGATCCTCAAACAGTTTCTCGTTCTGGAAGACATTCAGACAAATGGGGAGCTGAAGAAGAGAGTTTACAGCACCCTCGCTGGGCTCTTCGGATACTTCAAGGATAGACAGAACAGACAGACGCTTGCCGACGTCTTACTTGTGTTTGCCTCCATGGAGCCGTGGACTCAGGAAGTGGCAGATATCTGCCGTGACTTGAACTCGTACAATGTGAAGAGGCTGGACGAGCCGGACTACAACACCCGACTTACTGCTTTTAACCGCATCTCTGGCGAACGCGAGACCCCCTTCACGATTGACGAGTGGATGCCGTTGCTGCATAACCTCTTGTTCT